TTTTACGAATTATTGTAAACCTTTTTTACTAAAATACCCATGTCTATATTATATACTCTGTGCCCTCTATTCATATCCTAGTTTCACCTTTTTTCTATTTGAAGAGAACTGAAGAGGAACGAACCCAGGAAGAATGACCAACCTAGGAAGAACGAACTTAGTTTCCCCTTCTCCACTACCTCCAAATATCACAAGTCTGTCATCGTACGACTCTCACGAGGGGAAGGTGGGGTCCCTTCACATTTGGGTTGGGTCCATTCTTCTGTTCTAAGATCCAATATATGAAGGTCGTTTACCTTCTTGGAGCCATTGGTACCCCTAAAACTATCATCCTATGCCCCACGAGTACTGCACTATGGCTGTCTTTTGTACCAGGTTGTTGACGAGTAGTTACAAGGGTACTCCATGCCATTGTTTCAAGATTAAGCATGAGAACATCACTAAAATGCAGCTGTCAACAACAACCCTGAAATTGAAATAGGTAGAAGGAAAAAACGGTAGAAGAAATAAGAATGTAGAATGCAAATGGAAGGCGAACTTTTAGTTCTTGGTAAGGAAATCCAGATTTTCTCTGTTCCGGAACGATCCTAACTAGGTAATTTTCTAGAAAAAAATAGGCCACAGTCGTCATCCTATGAGTGGGAGATGACTAGGCATCAAGCATGTGATCGTACTTTTCTGCTGGAGCTTGAGGAGCTTGGGCTGAATGTACTTTCTACAAAGGTTTGCAGAATGTGGTCATATTGGCCATATAGAGAGTGTTCAGGAGTGGTGGTGGGTGGTGGGGTTGGCAAGAGTGTTGATGGGTCAGGGTTGTCCGAGGGCAGGAGACATTACTGTTGTTGGGTTTTCTATTGCTGTTGTTGTTGCAGCTTGAGTTGTTTCTCCTTGAAGACTTCCCACCACTTGCCAAGGCGCTTGGCGGTGCGATTGGGGACTTTGGAGGCAATTTTCTTCCACTTGTTGTCATACTTGGCTTGGAGAGAAATGACAAGGTTTTGTTCTTCTAGGGTCAAGGAGCCTTTCTTGATACCAGGTTTGAGACAGTTCTTCCACCGCTTGAGATAGGATTTGCCCATGCGTTGAGAGGTGAGGTGCCATTCCTTTGGTCCATATTGCTTAACGTAGGTGCGGAGGAGTCCACCTTCTTCGGGTTGCAAACGTTGCCTCTCCTTCATCTCCTAACCAACATATCTCCTACTGCTGCAACTTCTTCTCTTATGAAGAAGACGAAGATAATAATAGTTCACCATTTAAACCCACATTACTTTTCTTTCTTTTTTCATTTCCTTTTATCTGATGTAGAATTGGAAGTATGGGCTTTAAACTTTGGAGTTAAATCAAGAGGGTTGAGACATGAGAGAGCAAGAGAGAAATGATGAGATAGTAGCCAGGGCAATAAAGTGAGATGGGGCAGAGGAGGTGTTAGAAGGAATGGAAAAGGCGGGATGAGAGATGAATGATTAGGTACGATATTTTTCAAATAGGTCAGATGAATGACGTCTAAGGGTAAAAATGTATTTCTACACGATTTCCATCTTGGTCATTAATGGAAGGGAGGTATTTGTTGATTTTTTCAAAAATAGAGGGAGGTTTTCGCTAAAGTGAAACTATAGGGGAGGTTTTTATGATTGTTACAGATTTCAAGGGAGGTTTTTGTATTTTACCCTTATTGTTAACTACTAAACTAATTAATTAATTCCAGCTATTGATTACTAATAATAATCTATTTCTAATTAATTAACCTATTAATTACTTATAATAATTATTCTTAATTACTAATTAATTACTGTTAACTACTTTTAATTAATTAATTCTAGCTATTAATTACTAATAATAATTACTCACTGATAATAATTAATTACTAAAAATAATTTCTTTTAATAATTACTTCTATTACTTAATTACTGATAATACTTAATTAGTGATAATATTGCTCATTATTAATTTAGAAAAATAATTTCTTATAATTAATTACTGCTAATACTTAATTATTGATAATTTATTACTAACAATAATGCTCATTATTAATTCAAAATGCTAATTAATAAATATTTTCATAATGATAATTAATAATTCGAAAATAATCATTTTATATTTATATTAACTAATATTAATTATTTTGAAACTAAATAGTTAATGTTAATTATTTATATTATAATTATTATCAGAAATTATAATTCAAATATTTATATGAAATAATTAATTATATTATTATTATAAGTAGTTATAATTAATAATATTATATTAATTAATATAATTATATTATTATTATTATCAATAATTATAATTAATTATTACTAATACTAATGATGATAATTATTACTTCGGAATGTTAATTAATTAATGATAATTAATAAGTATTTTAATAATGTTAATTATTAATTGGGATATAATCATTTTATATTAATATTAAATTCATTTTAATTATTTTATAAATATATAATTAGTTTACTTATTTATAATTAATACTATTATTGTTCAATATTATTAAACTTAAATAATTAAAAAAGAAAATATTATTTTATGAATTAACTAAAAATTTTAATTATAACAAATTAATTACTTAATAATAATAAAAATAAAATAATAATAATAGTAGTAATAATATTTAATACTTTAATATTACTGATTTCAAAATCAATACACACATAATAAGAATATATTATTAGTTAATAATAATAATATACTTTTTATTATTACTGATTTCATAACTATTAATCTATTAATAATATTGATTATTATTAACAAAATGTTAACAGAAAAAGTTCATTATTTAAAATTATTTGCTGAAATTACCCATTTTAGTTCAGACAGATAATTAATTATTAATTATTAATTTCTTAAAATTATTATTTACTAAATAATTTTAATTACTCTTGATTAACAACCTTGTTTTTGAATAATTGGTTTTTATGGTCAATATTTTTTTTACAAAAATCTAAATAATTTGTCTTTTGCAATGCTAACCATTTTATTTTTCTCTTATTTATTTTTTCAAAAGAAAAAAATAAATTAATTATATTTACCTATTTTTATCAAATTATGTATTTATCAAGTTGTTGTCATTGATGATGAGTTAACTTTTTGAAAGAGAGGGGGTACTAATAATAATTAATGACTTCTAATTAATTAATTTCAGCTATTAATTACTACTAATAATAACTCACTAAGAATAATTAATTACTGATGATAAATTTTTATAATAATATTTCTCATTATTAATTCAGAATGATAATTAATAACGATTTTCATAATGGTAATTAATAATTCAAAATAATCATTTTATATTTATAGTAACTCATATTAATTCTTTTGAAAATAAATATTTAATGTTAATTATTTATCTTAGAATTTGTTCGAGTCATGGCTGAGCTGGTCATGTGAGACACGTGGCCGCCCAGCTATCGCCCTAGCATCCTCATAGTTCGGCCCGACCACCCACCACCTCTTACTAACTTGAGCATCGGAGTACTTACCCGAGAATAACTCCTCGGACCTCTAACTTCTTTCTTGATCACAGGTCTTGAAGCGCGACCTCGTCCTTGTAGCTCAGCCTCCCCTATCAGCAAGGACTATTTGGTTGCTCTCCTCAGTTCGTGCACCACCTCGAATTGAGTAGCATCAGATTGGCGCCGTCTGTGGGAATACACAAAAAGCCACCCCGAAAATCTTTCCTTACCATGCAATCAAGATGTACAAGAACTAGTTCGAGCGTTCAACAGGTCGATCCCCGTCTCGGGAGTCCCGCCACCACAATTCTCCGTATCAAGAAATTCCTAACCCCTAACCGTGGTCGATCCTGAGCAATTCCGAGCAATGCAAGAAAAGGTCGACAAGATCTTCGAAATGATGTAGAACCTAGGACCCGCAGCACCGCCTAGCACGACCGTCCCCCCTTACGCACCAACATGCACGAAGGATGATCCTCGTCCCAAGGACCCCAAAGCGCACCGAGTAGGCAAGGGCATAGCATGGTCCAACCGAGAAAAGCAAGATACGACAAGAAGGTCGGCCCCCTCCGTTCGCTCTCATAATAGGACACACTAAACCACGCGGATCCCTGCCAAAGAGAGGCTCGGCAGATGGATGCCACCTCACGTGGTCTCCGTCGCCGAGTCCAGCTCTGCGAAGGATCGTGCAGTGCGCCCCAAGAAGGAAAGGGCGACACACACTACGGCACTAGACCAAAGGGATGACGAGATTCGAGAACTCCGCCAGAGCTTAGAGGATTTAGAGCGCAGCCAGAGAAGTACGACGCCAGCTGAAGATCGGCTCGTGCCACCACTCATGCCCATGGCCAAGGAGCCACACTTCACCTAGGAAATTGTGAACGAGGTACCTCCCACTGGATGGCGGGCTCTTCAGCTTGACAAGTACGATGGAAACATTGATCCCATCGACCATATCGAAGCATTATAGGCTATGTTAATGTTGCACGGATCCTCCGAGGGCTTGATGTGCAAACCTTAGTGGCCACTCTCGCAGGTCCAGCCCTAACCTGGAATTCCTCCCTGCCCCCACGCTCAATAGCGTCGTGGGAGCAGCTGGAGACCCAGTTTTGCGCTCAGTTCACAGCAAGTCAAAAGCATTGGAAGACCTTGGCCAGCCTTATGCAAGTGCGACAGAAGAAAAATGAGTCCCTTAGGGACTACCTGGCTAGATTCAACAAGGAAGCACTATAGGTCTGGAACCTGAACCAGTCCGTGGCTGTCACCGCTATCCAGCATGGCCTCCGCCCATCCCCATTCAATTTTTCCATCTTAAAAAATCCTCCACAAACCCTGGCTGCGCTGATGAGCCATGCGTAGAAGTATATCAATGCAAAAGAAGCGCAGACACAACTACGGGATGAGGAAGAGAGGTCCGACAAGAGGAGGAAAGATATTGAGGAATGAAAGTCAGAAAGATCAGATCGAGACCATAAGAGGCAAGACCGCCGACCCGACCACAGACCATGGACACTCCCGTCAACCTATCGGAACTTCACGCCGCTCAATATGCCGTGGTCTGAAGTCCTGATGCAAATCCACGACCGTAACTATATTCGATGGCTCGAGAAGATGAGAACGCAAAGCAACAAGAGGAATCACGACAAATATTGCGAGTTCCATAGAGATCATGGCCACGACACAGAGAACTGCTTCGACCTGCACAACCACATTGAAGACCTAATCAAGCGCGGATACCTCAGTAGATTTATCAAGAGCGAGAAGCTGACACAGGAAGAACAGTGCATGGAGGATGCTCGACCACCGCCCCGAGCTCCCCCTGCTAGTGTGATCCACGTCATACCAGGTGGAATCGCCGTAGGAGGGGAGAGTAGCTCGGGGAATAAGAAGTATGCGCGACTATGCGAGATAGACAATCGGGGGCAGAAGAATAAGCACAGCCAGACCATCACGTTCACCAACGATGACCTCTGGGGGGTTCAAAACCCGCATGACGATGCCTTGGTCATCACGGCCGAGCTGGCCCACCTCGAAATAAGACGGATCCTGGTTGACACGGGTAGCTCCGCTGATGTACTCTTCGAGGACTCGTTTGAAAAGCTCGACATCGACAAAGAGCGCCTCACCCCCGTCAACACTCCCCTAATGAGCTTCTTTGGGGAGAATAACTCTTCCCCTACTGATTGGAGACGGTAACGTTACTGCGACAACCATGGTGGACTTCATTGTGGTTCGTTGCCCCTATTCGTACAACACCATCCTTGGTAGGCCAACCCTTAATGCTCTTCAAGCTGTAGTCTCCACATTCCCTCTCGCTATGAAGTTCCCCACCGAATATGGTATAGGGGTAGCACATGGAGATCAAAGAACTGCGCCCCAGTGCTACCTGCTCTCTTGTTGAGGACCATGGTCGGCCATAGAAACACTAATAACAGAAGCTTATGACTTCCAAGATGTGGTGAAGACACAACGCGACCAACCTATCAAAGACCTCATCCAGGTACCGCTTAACGAAGGAGACCTCGAGAGGACAGCCCAGGTTGGCTCTCTCTAAAATGACCACCTCTGAGAAGAGCTTGTACAGTTACGGAGAGACCACGCCAGTGTATTTGCTTGGTCGGCAGCAGATACGCTGGGGATCGACCCCGAAGTCATCACACACCATTTGAACACTGACCCCTGCTACCGATCTGTCAAGCAAAGGAAGAGGAGTTTTGCAACAGAAAGGTGGCAGGTGATTGTAGACGAAGTACAAAAGCTACTCGACGCTGACTTTACTCGGGAGGTCAAGTATCCCGACTGGCTGGCCAATGTAGTAATGGTGAAAAAAGCCAACGGGAAGTGGAGAATATGCATCGACTTCACCGACCTAAACAAGACCTGCCCCAAAGACAACTTTCCTCTACCAAGGATCGACCAACTTGTTGATGCAACGGCGGGCCATGAACTCCTGAGCTTTATGGATGCCTTCCCAGGGTACAATTAGATCCGAATGCATCCCAATAACTAGGAGAAAAGAACCTTTATCACTGATCGCGACTTGTATTGCTATAAGGTCATGCCCTTTGGCATCAGGAACGCCGGCACCACTTACCACCGATTGGTGAATGAGGTGTTCAAAGATCAACTCGACCAAAACATAGAGGCATACGTTGACGACATGCTACTAAAGAGCAAGAAGGACGAGTAGCACCTTGCCGACCTAAAGGAAGTCTTCAATACCCTCAGGAAGTATAAGATGAAGCTGAAATTGACCAAATGTGCTTTCAGGGTCGGCTTGGATAACTTCCTGGGGTTCATGGTGACGCAAAGGGGGATTGAGGCAAACCCAGAGAAAATACAGGCCATCCTCGACATGCAATCCCCCCGAACCCACAAAGATGTACAACAACTCATCGGTAGAATAGCCGCCCTTAGTAGGTTCATGTCCAAATCTGCGGACCGGTGTTTGCCCTTCTTCAAAGCCCTCAAACGACCGAAGGACTTCCAATGGACCGAGGAATGTGAACGGTCCTTTCAAGAACTAAAGTGGTACCTAAGTTCGTCGCCTCTCCTCACCAAGCCGAGCCTAGGGGATGAGCTATTGTTTTACCTCTCAGCCGGGGATGAGGTCGTCAACTCAGTACTAGTGAAGGAGGAAGCTCGGGTACGGAGGTCGCTTTATTATACCAGTAAAGTCCTTGGTGGTGCAGAAACTCGGTACTCCAACTTGGAGAAAATGGCTCTGGCTTTGGTCACCTCGGCCAGAAAGCTCAGACCGTACTTTCAGGCCCACACTATTTGAGCGCTCACCAACAAGCCACTTAGGCATGTCCTCCAAAGGCCAAAAGCATTTCGCTGCTTGATCAAATGGAGCATGGAGTTAAGTGAGTTCGACATCGAGTATGCACCCCGGCCTGCGATCAAAGCTCAGTCCCTAACTGACTTCATTGCTGAATGCACGTTCACCACTAAGGATCCTGCCCCGCCGCTGCAAATATGGACCCTACACGTGGACGGATCATACAATCAGCAAGGCAGTGGGGCCGGTCTTATTATCCTCGGCCTGGATGACACGATGTTAGAGCATGCCCTTAGGTTCGAGTTTAAAGTGTCCAACAATGAGGATGAGTATGAGGCTTTGATCGTCGGGCTATGCCTCACCCTAGACCTGGGAGCTCGGAGAATAGAAGCCTTCAGTGACTCTCAGCTGGTAGTCAACCAGATCCATGGACAATTTGAGATGAGAACGCCCATGATGGCAAGTTACCTACAGAAGGTGCAAGAGCTCATCCACCGACTTGAGCACTTCAACATCTAGCAAGTTCCTCAAGCCGAGAACATAAGAGCCGGTGCACTATCCAAGTTGGCCAGCTCCCTAATAACCGACCTCGGCAAAACAACACGGTTGGATACCCTGGCCCAACCGAACATTACATAGACAACTATCCTTCTCCTGGTATAGCACGACCCATCCTGGATGGACCCTATAACACAGTATCTCCACGAAGGCACACTTCCAGAAGATCAGACAGAAGCAAAGAAGCTCAACCACAGATCAGTCTGATACTGCCTTATCCAGGGTCAACTCTACCACCGTTCACTTACTCTACCCTACCTGAAATGTCTCTCCCCTTCCGATAGCACACAAGGCACTCTGACAAGGTTATTTCTGGCCGACGACGAAACAGGATGTGGCCCAATTGGTTCGAAGATGCAATAGTTGCCAGCGACACTCCAATCTCTACCATCAGCCTGGAGTCCCCCTGAAGCCAATCACCAGCCCATGGTCGTTCGTGCAATGGGGGATGGACATCCTTGGCCCCTTTCCCATTGCAGTCGCTCAGAAGAAGTTCCTTCTGGTGGCGGTGGATTACTTCACCAAATGGGTAGAAGTCGAAGCTCTAGCACGCATTATTGTGCATAATGCCCAGAACTTTTTTTGGCAATGTATTGTCTATCGATTTGGTATTCCGTGCATCCACATCACAAATAGTGGGACACAGTTCACCGAACGAAAGTTTGAAGCCCTCTACTCTGACCTGAAGATCGACCACCGGACCACGACTATACACCGACCCCAGAGAAATGGGCAGACCGAGGTGACGAACCGAACCTTGTTGCACGACCTGAAGACTTGACTGAACTAGGCCAAGGGGAGGTGGGCCGAGGAATTGCCGAGCATAGTTTGGGTATACAAGACTACTCCGCGGGCAGCCACCGGTGAGACTCCCTTTAGCTTGATCTACGGAGCCAAGGCTATGGTTCCTGTAGAGATTGGCTCCCCAACCCTTCGGACCGAGCTCTTCGATGAGGAACAGAACGATGAGGACCTCTGTGCATAGTTAGACCTGATCGAGGAAGCCCAAGACCAAGCATATGGCAGGATGGTAGCACAGCAGCAAAGGATGGCGAAGTACTAGGACACTAAAGTCAGAAGACATGAATTCAAGACTGGAGACCTCGTCGTCTGCAAAGTCATAGTACCCGCTCCTAGAGAAGGAAAGCTCGGGCTGAATTGGAAAGGGCCGTATAAAGTCACCAAGGTCCTTGGCCCAGGCACCTACAGGCTCGAAGACCTGGATGGCCGACCAATATTGAGGAGTTAGAACTCGGGAAATCTCAGGATGTACTACCAGTAGATTTGCAAGCAATAAAAGTTTCCTTTCTTTCAAGCTACAATTCTGACCCTAAAATGTGCACACGCCCACCAGACACATTGCACACACACATGCTGAGCCGCACTGACAACCGAGTTGACTCCGCTGGTCCCCGAACGGCTGAGCCCGTTACGCCTAGCTCGGCAGCGCATCGCTGACTAAGCTACCCGACTCAGCTAACAATAGCCGAGCCTAAACGTGGAGGAAGAACGCCCCCGCCTACAAAGGCCTGCGGATAGTCGAGGAATTCCTTATAATTGTTGGCTTAACGAATGAGCTAGCTGGGAAACGGCTAGCCCTAGAATGCCCCAAAGGCTTTTGAGACCAGAAAATTGAGGGTCCCATGGCTGAGAACTCGGGAACCGAAAGATCTCGGGCAACTACACCTCAGTCGAGACAAGACCGGGGATGCCAAGGCATAACCTGGCTGGCTATGCCTCGGCCAACTATACCTCGATCGGGACAAGACTAGGGATGTCGAGACATAACCCGACCGGCTATGCCTTGGCCAACTACACCTTAGTTGGGACAAAATCAGGGGTGCCGAGGCCTAACCCGGCCGGCTATACCTCAGCCAACTACACCTCGATCAGCACAAGACTGGGGACGCCTAAGTGTAGTCCGGTTGGCTATGCCTCTGCCCATGAACTAAAATTGCAAAAGTACAAAGAAATCGCCCAAGGCACAACCTACCCCGGCCCGTGTAGTATCCCGGCTGGCCACACCCCCGCTAATAAAAAATGGTACAATAAGGCCAACAGAAAATTGTACAATAAGATGCCCTGGCATAGCCCAGTCCGGCATACACAATAGCCCGACTAGACATGCCTCGGCTGGGAAAAGAAAAAGGCACTAGGATTGTTAGACAATTTTGTATGCCCTTAGCTTCAATCAGAATGATGTACTTTATGAGTTTACTGTAAATGAATAAAAGTGCATATTTGATTCATGTTCCCTTGGTATGTTTCTGTGTAATACCCTTAAACTGGACACTTAATGAGACTCGTGTTAGTTTAGAATGTTCACAGCNTGTTTCTGTGTAATACCCTTAAACTGGACACTTAATGAGACTCGTGTTAGTTTAGAATGTTCACAGCCTGTGGGTCGGTCTGGGGAGACCTATCTTGATAAGGCTTACACTGTGGTGCCACCAAGTCGGTTGGGGTGGCCTGTCTCAGCTGCCAGGGTGAGACCCTAGGCACATCCAGTGTAGGATAAATTGAATCTTTGAACTGTTCCAAATTTCCAGTATTGCTCTGGACCTTGGAGATTAATGGGCAAAACTAGAATGTTACACCCGACCCCTAGACTCGATTATGATACTGCACTGGGTGTCGGATTGGGTTGTCTTTGATGTACCAATCAGTGAGATCCTTAGTGGGGGTCAAAACCTGGGTATGTTGGGACAGTTTAAGAATTCATCTGAATGGGTGATCATAGTGACAGGATCAGCCCCTTTGTCGGACAAAGGTAATGATCGGGGATGCACTCTCGCTGATGGAAACCAAGACTGTTGGCAACCAATTTCAATCGTTGAGATTTGTTTTGCAAAGTATA